TATGATATCCCTTGTTCCACGTCCTCTTCTGAATCTGGCTTGAACCTCTGGAAGTTCTCTGTCAATATACTGCTGCAAATGTTTCTGAATTATCTTCAGTAAGATCTTACTTGCGTGCGATATTAATGATATTACCAGAGGGTAAGTACATGGAAAAGCAGGAGGCCAGAGAAGTCAGAGGGCTGAGGCAGGAACCTCAGCCTCCATGAACCTGAGCCCAGAAGGAACTAGATCGTGCCTGGCAACTGATGCCAATCACTCGGAAAGCATTAGAATGGGAGATCCTGGATAGAGTGGGAGGGTTAAATGTGGAACAAAATTCAAAACCATAAAAATGACCAGAATTACCAGTCAGATAGAGACTGGTGGAATCTCTAAGACTGTGGCCCTGGGTTACCTACCCTTCGGGCCTGGAAGTGGACTTGCCTCTGTGGGTTAGCTCTCAGCCAAACATTACACAGGCCTGTGAGCTGAACACATCTACCCCAGGGAGGTGCATGCCTTTGAAGAGTCAACCTGAAAGCCTGGAAAGGCGGCATTTATACAGGGAGATAGCCAGACAGACAGGAATACATAGATAAGAAGGACACAGGGACAGGTAACCACAGGGAGGATGTAGGAGTGCTGTTTATTGTGGGGACTGTAATTTGTGCAGTGAAACAAAACGCATATGAATTGGTGAGTGTGAAATGAATCTGCTTCATAAATTTGCCCCCAAAACACAATAAAAATAGGAGGGTGTGGGGGCTTGGGCCAGGCTGGGGACGGTGGAGCTCTGGGTGTCGCTGGAGCCCCCATCACTCAGGGCCTGAGAGCAGCATAGTCCCCGTCTCCTCGCCCCCATCAGCTGTGTCCACAGTCACCAACACCTGTATAAATACAGTTTCTGGGTGGTATACGCCAACTGTGCTCAGTTACTGACCTGAGAAAGGCCTGCCAGCTGGCTTCCACACAGGCTCTTGTTGGGACATGCTGTTGAGGTGATTTGGACCCTGCTGTTTCCAAGGCCGTTACCTTTCTGAAGCTCATCGCCAGGCCTTCCTCCTGAGGTGCCTCTGGCTGGGTTTCAACCATCAACCTTTCAGTCAGCGGTCTGGCGTGTAACAATTTGCATCACCTGGGAATGCTTCTAAAGCTGACAGCCAAGAAAACTCTCTGGGACAGTTCTGTTCTGACACACATGGTGTCACCATGAGTCAGAGTCAGCGCCACAGAACTGTGCGTGAATGCGTGTATTTTTGTTTTAATGTTTTATTGTGTTTAAGATGAGCCTTTCACAGCACATGAGGGTCCCATTTCACAACTTCTGCACAGATTCTTCAGGGACATTGGCCTCTGTTTGACCAGGTGCCACCATTCTCAGTGGCTCCGTTCTGGGTGGACCCTTTCCAGTGCTCTGATTTCCCTTCTCATCTCTGCTTTAGAGCAGTTTTTGACCATCTGGTCTCCGATAGTTAATTTGACAACTGGTTTTTTTTTTTTCCGTAAGTGAGATATATATACACCAGATTTCAACAACCTTAATACAAACAAAGGAGCTCTGGTAGCGTAGTGCCTAAGGCACTTGACTGCTAACCAGAAGGCTGATGGGTCAAACCCACCAGCCACTCCTTGGAAGAAGGTTGGGCGATCTATTTCCGTAGTGATACCGCCTCGGAAACCCAAGGAGGGGTCGCTATGAGTTGGGTCCGACTCTACGGCAAACAACAACAGGGGAGTCGAAGTGTGAATCGCTTTGACCTTGCCCTACTGACAAGGGCTTACAGTATCTTAGACTTCCAGACTAAGCAGAAGTGCAGAGGGTCAATGGGACATTTTAACACAATCGGTTAAGCTTCAAGCAGAGGGGGTAATGTGAGGTGTGGAGGGAAAACACACAAAGAAGTTCAGCTTTCTGGAGCAGAGACTGAGAGAGGATGAAGAGAATTTGAAGGGAAGCGATAGGTCAGGGTCACTTAGGCGGGACTCAGAACGTCAACTAGGCAGTCTGAACTTTACCTGAGGGGTCACGGGGAGCCGCTGTGAGCAAGAAGCATAAGGTCGCAGAAACTGAGAGACGTACCTTGTCCAAGATACACAATCAGGTACAGAACGGGGAAACGAACTAAGGCCTAATTAATTTATTTCTAATGAATTTTTGATGAATAGTCCGAAACACCTCGCCGTGCCGTCTTCCACCGGACTGCGCAGTTCACAACATAAACGTTTCCAGTACGCCATCCATTCTGCGGAAACATTCTCAGCGGTTGAACCGGAAACAGAAAGTGACCGTTGTGGACGCCACCTAACGGCCGGCTGCGGCGAAGCTGAGCCTGAAATGTCGCAACACCGGAAGGGGCCCGACCGTTTCCGGCAAAAACCCGCTGGAGCAAGAGCTCACCGGCGGATCTCAGTGCGACCAGGCCAGTGTGACCGGCTCTGCGACGTCGCTGTCCCGTTTTGCGCAGGCGCTGCGGCGCAAGCAAACCCATACGCAAGCCGTGCGCGCACTCCCCCTCCGACAGGCCTCTGCGTGGTTTCTAGGGTGAGGCTCTCGGCGCAGGAGCGCGACTTCTGTTCTCTAGACTACTATTCCCAGCATGCCGCGTTTAGACGTCGGTAAGGGGTGCGGTTTCCTAGGAAAATTTACAGAACTTTTGAATTGGTGATGACGTAGTGGAGTGGAAACACTGAATACGTTTGTAGAGCGCGTCGTATGCAGCAGCCCCAGTGGCCTAATGGATAAGGCATTGGCCTCCTAAGCCAGGGATTGTGGGTTCGAGTCCCATCTGGGGTGCTCCTGCTTTTGTTTTTCATGTTAGGGAAAGAAACTTTCGTTTACCCAAACAACTGAAGTGAGATACGCTGCCTCACTTCCCTTCACGGGAGCTGTATGTGTGGTTTTACTAGCTGTTGGGCTGCAGTTTGCGAGAAGTAGCAGCCTCCATTTCCTCCCCCCGAGCCAAACGTGCTGTAAGGTTTTGGGGAAGTCGTTCAATACACTGATCTTCGTTTTCTCGTCTAGAAATCACTAATACCTCCTGGGGGTATTCCACGCTAAACGTTCGCCCGCTCCCGCTGGTCCCAACTTTCCTCCTGGCCTGTGGTCGGTAAACTAAGGGCGTCCTGACGGCTCAGTGATGAGGAGTGCTACTACCCCTCAGGGCCTTGAGCTCCAGGACGGCCGCTGCCTGGGTTGGGCAATCTACTTCCGTAGTGATATCGCCTCGGAAACCCAAGGAGGGGTCGTTGTGAGTGGGGCCGACTCCATGGCACGCAACAACAACAATCCGTAGTGCCTAAGGCATTTGACTCTAACCAGAAGGCTGGCGGTTCAAACCCACCAGCCGCTCCTCAAAAGGAAGATTGGGCAATCTACTTCTATAGTGATACTAGCTCAGAAACCCAAGGAGGGGTCGCTATGAGTCAGATCCGACTGGAGGGCATTGAGTTTTGAGTTTTTTAGCTCTTTAGGGCGCGGTTCGACGCTCGATTAACAAGCCTCCACAGGTCAGGAAGGGGGCCGTTCCACTGCTATTCGCTCGATAGGGGGAGCAGGCAGCCAGGTCCGACTGGACCATTAGGTGGCCGGGGCTGGGGGGGAGGTGGACGTGAGGAGGGGCGTAGGCGCCATCGCTCGTCAGCTTCCGAGCGGCCGGAAAAATGGCGGCCTTGGGGTCCCCGGCGCGCACGTTGCGGGGTCTGCTGCGGGAGCTACGCTACTTGAGCGCAGCCACCGGCCGACCGTATCGCGACACCGCGGCCTATCGGTACCTCTTGAAGGCTTTCCGTGCACATCGGGTACAGATGCCCCGTATCCCGGGTCGGGAGGAGAGTCTGGGTGAGCGGGGGGTCTGGGCGCAGGGTCTCAGCGCGTGCCTCCTTGAGGCCGACCCTTCCGCCGAGCGTGCGGCCCGCTGCGTAATTACCGAGGCCGGGCCGCGAATCTAGGTCGCACTGGGGCCATAGTGGCAGTTCTGCGGAGGGGCGGTGTCGCCCCCGAGGATTTCATTGGCTGGCCTTTTGCTTGCGCGGAGGGGAAAGCCGGGGAAAAGTGGAACAGAGCAAACGGAAGGGGAGGAACAGAAACGATGCCCGTGGTGGGTCGTGCACTGCTTCTAGGCTTGAATCCACAGATCTGTCCGAGTTCTCCTTGGCTTTTCCCCAAGTAGAGCTATTCTGAGAAGCAGTGTAGGGAGCAGACAAGGCAAGTGTGGTGAGAGAAGGACTAAATGGAAGCTTCTGGAGCAGGAAGCGGCTTCTGCACCACATAGTAAAATTGTGCCTTGTACAGCTGTGCTGGAAACTGCCGAGGTCTGCTACCTCACCGTACCAGACACGTTACCTTGGTCTATGACCACACAGGCTTTTTATTTAAGTAGCAGACAAATGTAAAGATAGGAGGCCATGCTTGAGGAATTCCTTTGTGAAATCCACATTCCTTACACCCCTTAGAGAAGTAGAAATTTCGTTTTTCAAAGGTGGTGACTGGGCTTAAGGCACAGTAACCCATACAATGAGTTAGCATGCAAATGGGGGTAGAACAACTAGAACTTAGGGTTATCTGGTTCCCACGTACGATTCTTACACACGTACTTGTTGTCTTTGGAGTTATGGAACTGGTTTGGAGAGTCAGCTTGGGCTTTAGGGAAGGAAACTCTGAGTGGGAAAAGGAGAACCAGCATCCTAACCACTGGACTTTTGAGAGCTATGGAAGTTAGACTGCAAAATCTTAGAACTAAGATCCTATACTTTTTTTAAAGGCTATAATGTTCAAGGACTGTGTCAGAGTTTGTGCTAAAAAATGGGTACAGAAGCTACACGTGGGTCTTGTAAGCAGCTTACTTCTCAGGACGCCTACAATGAAACAACAAATTAGGGCAGGCCTGGTATAAAGAATAGGTAGTGGAGAAAGCTCAAGAGGAAATCATTAAGCTGGGGCCTGAAGGATAAATTGGAGTCAGCATGCAAATGGAGTTGGGGTAAATGAAGGTCCATGTATGGAAGAGAGGAGAACATCTGTTAGAATGTCAGGGGCCTAGGATGTGGTATAAAGGAGATGATGATGAGGTAGGTGGAAGGCAGGGATTATCCTAAGTGTGATGGGAAGCCATCCGAAGATGATTTGTGGGTGTGTGTGTGATTTTTGGGCAGTTTACAGAGCAAACTCATTTTCCAAACAACACTTCATACATATTTTGTTTCATCACATTGATTGCAATTCTCCACAATGTAACAGCTCTCTTCCCACTTCCTGTGGTTATGTCCTAAGGTTTATAAAGAGGTGATATGATTATAGTTGTACCCCATGAAGGCCACATTAACAGCCTTGAGAGAGGCTTGTCAATGATTCTGGAATTCCTTGGAAATTACGCCTGAAATCCATGCTGCCAATTCCAGAAACACCACATTGTGGGTAGGACGCATGAGGATACAGGAAAGGTTTCCGTTTTCCTTCTGGCTAAGAGTGGAATGTGCCCACTTTTTCTAACCTTTCCTTAGGCTAAAGGGACTCTGTTAGGGTGGAGCTCCCATCTTCTTAGGGAAAAATGTTTTCAGTTCCATTTGCTCTTTTGTTCCTCTGTGATTTACTCTGTCCATTGCTGGCCCTTCTCTCCAGACTTCTCAGGCTCAGCCAAATGAAGATCAGGATGCTGCTGTCCAATACTGACATGGAACTGCAGTTTCAAATCCAGCAGAAAGTGGCTTGTACGTTAGAAATGAATGTTACCCTTTGCTGATGCTTGAGGATAGGTGTTGATCTCCAAGGTCATGTTTGATTAAATGAGATGAATTCTGCTGTTGTGCAGCTAATGAGTGATTTCATACATACTCTGCAGTTCTCAGGTTCCAACCTAGATGTTCAAATAGAGAAAGAAAGGTCAGATGAAGGAGACTGTACAGGCAGTGGTTCCCAGAGACCAATCCACACCTGCACAGGGCTTGTAAGCCACTTGAGGCTGTGCACACATTCCTTTCTCACCTTTCCTTCCAACACCTCAGAACAGAAGACAGCATACCAATTTGCTTAATCTGGAAATTGTATGCTGCAACAACCAGGTTTGGTTCCCTGGGGACATGGGTATGGACTTTGCAGCGCTGTAAGGTCATCGGAATCCAGACCTTTCGCACGGATAGGTAAATGTGAGAGCAAACAAAATGAAGTACTATGAATATACACACATTATATGTTAAAAACTTTCATTTTGTTATTGAGGACAAAGCTTTTTTTTTTCCCCCCGACAATGTAAGTTTTTAATTTTCATTTCAATGAAGGGCCTTGGCCACATTAGTCAACTTCACAAAGTCATAAAATAACGCAGCCCTTCGTTTCTTTAAAGGGGAGAAAGTTCCGTATTTTATTCCTTAGGTGGCATGAAGGAGTAGTAACCTGATGATGGTTCCCACCTCTCCTTTTACCCAGCCACTGAGCCTTTCTCGGCTTTAGTTTCTTCATTTGTAAAATGAGAGAGTCTAAACTAGATTTCTGCCAGTATTAAAACCTGGGAACACTTTATTCAGTGAAACTCCTCTTAAATAAAACTGCCTCTTTGATTAGGTGGAGGTCAACTTTTCTGTTGTTTGGTGCCATCAAGTCAGTTCCATCTCAGCACCCCTACATACAACAGAATGAAACCCTGCCCAGTCCTGTGCCGCCCTCGCAATCCTGGCTCTGCTGGAGCCCACTGTTGCAGCCACTATGTCAGTCCATCTTGAGGATCTTCCCTTTTTTTGCTGACCCTCTATTTTACTCAGCATGATATCCTTCTCCAGGGACTGGTCCATTCTGATAACATGACCAAGTACAAAATAAGTCTGGCCATTCTCTCTTCTTAGGACCACTGTGGCTGTACTTCCTCCAAGACATACTCATCTCTGGCAGTTCATAGTACATTCACTGTTCTTCACCATCAGTTCTTCTGTGGTTGTCTTTCTTCATTGTCCAGCTTTCACATGCATGAGGCTGTTGACACTGCCAGGACTCGGATCGTACAGCTTCCCCACAGTGCCCTGCATGATAAACACACACGTGTATCTGTATTTCCTCTGTGCAGTCTTTGAGCCAAGGCCCGACTACGCCGTCTTGCTCTGTGCAATATGTGTAATGGTGTAATAAAGATAATAAAGAACGAAGTGACTGGTGTGTAACAGACTCTGTGCCTTGCTACTTCTCTAGGTCACCAGTGAAAAACTGTGTAGAGCCCAACATGAGCTTCATTTTCAAGCCGCCACCTACCTGTGCCTGCTGCGCAGCGTCCGGGAACACGTGGCCCTGCATCGGGAGTTTCACGGCAAGGGCGAACGCTCAGTGGAGGAGTCTGCTGGCTTGGTGGGCCTCCACTTGCCGCGTCAGCCTGGAGGGAAGGGCTGGGAGCCATGAAAATGGAGAGACTGCTTGGATACTTTCTTCATACAAGAATTTAATCTCTGTCATTATGTACTTATGAGATTGTTTTAAAGTTTGAGGTTTTTCTCTGTGATTTTGTCGACTGGTTCTTATAAGAATTAAACTGGAAACCATCATTACTCCCAGTGAATTTGCTGAATGGCTTATGCTAGGCTGATTGGTAGTTTTGTTCTACCTTTAAAAGTCTTTTTTTTTTTTTAACTTTTTGTGATTTTGGTAAACAAGCCTGTTGTTTTAAGGAATTCAAATGGTGTAAAATAAAACCAAAATCACTGCCATCAAGTCAATTCTCACAGTGACCCCCCATTGGATTTCCACGGCAGTAAATCTTTACAGAACCACTCTACCTCAGCCCTTTTCTACTGAGTGGCTGGTGAGTTCAAACCACCAACCTTTTGGTTACCAGCCAAATGCCTTAACCACTCTGCCACCAGAGCTCCTTTCAGATGGTACAGGACTATAAAACAAAAGCCCTTTCCCTTGCCCATTTTCATTACCAGGTGGTAACCATTACCAGTAGTTTGGTTTATATCTTTCTGAGTATTTCCTCTTCATATGCAAACGTATAATTATACAGGAAATACTTTATAAACAATACATAAATGTGATATGATAGACTCCTAGCAGGAACCAATTGGCACACTCAAGGTTTTTGAGATGAGTGAATGAAAGGATGGTATACAAAGTGTGGGCTATATTACGTTCCATCAGTGAGAGGCTGAGGCTCTAACAATACCTCCTAGGCCTCACAGGAACTGGCCTTAGAGGACTGCAGCCACCACTGAACTCCACCTGCTGGACGGAGGTGGTGGTACGACATCTCCATTTACCTTCTGACGTCCTTGTCAAATTGCTCTTCCTCTTGAATTCCCTGTCCAGGCCAGTGGCTCTGCCATGTACTTAGCTGACCAAGTGAAGAACTCAGGCTTCGTTCTTAATTTCTTTCCTCACTCCACATCCATCAGTCACCACTTACGCTTCCGCAGTAACTCGAATCTCCTCCTCTGTTTTCACTGCCTTTACCTTAGCTCAAGACTGATGATCTTTTAGCTGAACTATTAAAAGCATTCCTAAATGATCCCCTTGTTTCTAATGCCTGGGTGGTATTAACAGTTCCTTTTCTGTACCTGCTTTATGGTGTTTGTCAGTTAGAATTGTAGGTATGTTTAAAACCTCTTCCCCTGGGCCACATCTCATTCATTTTTGTAGTCTCCAAATCACCACTCACAGTAACTTACACATAACATACATTCAATAAATGTTTTCAATAAATGTCAGCTCTACTTTCTTGGAAGAGTATTAATTGAACAACAGAACTATTCTCAAAACATTTCAAAACACCATCTCTTTCATCTAAGAAATTAACAAAATAATATTAAGAGATCAAACAAGCATTTATTCAACAGATCAAAAAGATAAAAATGTTTAGCATACATGTCCTGTTGTTTGCTTATTTCATGGGGATGAGTTTGTTAGTATCCTGTGAAGATTGTTTACATTTTGGTAAGAGTGAAGAAAGCAAAAGGATAAAAGGATTAGGATAGGTTGAAGTTCTGATTTCCTGTTACAATACCGCATAGACAACAATACTTTAAAAGAGATTTTTATCTAATGCTAAGAAATAATCATTACGGATTTGGAGTCTAGATGTAAATATAGGTCTTAATCCAGCTTTACACTTTTCCAGCTGTGTAATCTTGGGCAGGTCAGTTGGGCTGAGTGTGTTCCCTCTTCTGTAAAATGGGAATCTCTTCCTCACAAAGTAGTTGTGAGAAATGTGAATAATGTCTATAAAACACTAGCATAGTGCATAGTGAGTGCCCAACAAAAACAGAATCTGTTTTTATCTTTTTAGGAGCTCTGGTGGCATAGTGCCTAAGGAATGTGACTGCTAACCAGAAGCCTGGCAGTTCAAACCACCAGCCACTCATCAGAAGGAAGGTTGGGCAATCTACTTCCGTAGTGATAGCCTCGGAAACCCAAGGAGGGGTCACTGACTCGGATCCAACTCAAGGGCAGTGAGTTTGGTTTGGTTTTTTTCTTTTTACTTTACTCTCATTCCATTTTTATCATTTACCCTTCTCTAAGCCTACCCAATAAGCAGCATCATGATAGCTGGAGAAATGATTGAGGTTGTCAAAGATTTCTTATTACTTTGATCCACAATCAACACCGATAGAAGCAGCAGTCAAGACATCAGATGGCATTGCATTGGGCAAGTCTGCTGCAAAAGACCTCTTCAAAGTGCTTAAGAGCAAAGATGCCTCTTTGAAGACCAAGATGTGCCTAACCCAAGCCATGGTGTTTTCAATTGCCTCATATGCACGTGAAAGCTGGACACTGAATAAAGAAGACCAAAGAAGAGTTGATGCTTTTGAGTTGTGTTGGTAAAGAATGTTGCCAAAAGAACTAATAAGTCTGTCCTGGAAAAAGTGCAGCCGCGATGCTCCCTAGAAGCGAGAATGACCAGACTTTGTCTCACCTACTTTGGTCATCTGGTCAGAAGGGACCATTCCTTAGAGAAAGATATCATGCTTTGTAAAATGAAGGGTCAACGAAAAAGGGGAAGGCCCTCAGTGTGATGGATTGATACAATGGCTGCAACAGTGGGCTCAGGTTATAGCAAGGACTGCGAAGCTGGCACAGGACCAGGCAGTGTCTCGTTCTGTTGTACATAGGGTTTCTATGACTAGGAGCCGACTTGATGGGCCCAAACAACAACAAAGCCCACCAGGCTTCAGAAGTAAAGACAAGTTATTTCTTATTGCTTCAATAATTCACTCAGGTTATTTTCTGTCCATATACAATTAATCTGTATGTCCTATTGCATGTATAACTTCTTTTAGAAGGATCACCACAAAGCTGGTTCCTATGAGGTAGAGGTTAAAGATGTCCCAAATGTCCAACTTTTCCAAACTGCTATACCATTCCATTCTCTAACATCAACTACTCTTCCCCTGTGTGGTACTCTCCCATTGGGTTCTGTAATTCACTGCAATGTCTCACAGAATTCAAGAACCATGAAGGAAATGGCTCATGTGGTTGTGAAGGCTGGCAAGTCTCAAATTGTGGGTCAGGTGTCAGGCTGGAGGCTTCTTCTGAGTCATGTCATTGCAGGGGCTGAGGAACCCAAATCAGGTCAGACGATAGGCTGTTAGCTCACCAGGCTGCAGCAGAAGCTGGTGAGTCAGATCAGATGATAGGCTGCTGCCTTATGTTCCAGGAAGTGGAGGTGAGATGATGATGCGCCCAATGCAGTTTCCAGAGAGAGACAGAGAACTTTGCCACATCATTCACATGTATTTGATACAGAACATAACCTCAAAGAAACTCCCCTTCCTTGAGCTAGGTGGTGCACGGGTCCAAAGAGTGGTGACCACGGTAAGGGTGGAGACTTGAGGCACACCTTCTAGTAATGTGTGTGAATCAAGATACATCTCTCTCTAATCCTGCCTCATTAACATAATGGACAACTCACTCCCAAATGGGCCCATAATCACTGGCAGACGCTCATCACAAAACAAAGTAATCATATCATTATATAACTACTAAATTACACAGGTACAGCAAACATCTGAAAATCATGGCTCAGTCGAGTTGACACATAACCATTACAGGTTCCATATACCTTATTTACTTTCATTTACAACAAGCTGTCCAGGCCTCTTGATGATCCACAAGCACTTTATCTGCGTAGTTCCATCCAATCACTGTGTGAGAGTCACAGACACTATGGCTAAAGGACCATAAGTAATTCACTGTACCACACCTGTAAATAGTCGCATGACCAAGAATTAGCTAAACTCAAATGTTGGAATTGGAGTTGACTTTAGAACACAAACTGTGTAAGCAGTCTACTTTTCTGTACTGGGAAGGTACTAGAACAGGGAATCTTGAGTTTTTGGCACTGTATTCCTTATGATGCTAGTTTCTGATGTACCTTCTTTATCACATTCCTTCACTCTACTGTCTCTTTTACCATCTTCAACTTCTTCCTCTCACTGGATCCCTTCTTTAGCATTGAAATATGTTCAAAGCTCCATTCAAGAACTACTCTGTCTCTATTCTAAGTGCCTTCTCAGCTACTGCTCTTTTTCCTCTTCACAGAGTTAATGAATTATATGGAAAAAATTATACTCATTTTCTACATTTAAAAAACACATATAATATTTTATTAAGCTGTAATATGCATACAGTATACTCATTTTAAGTATACAGTTCAACGAATTTTGACATGTGTATAATCACCACCCCAGTAAAGTTATAGTACATTTCCATCACCCCAAAAGGTTCTCTTGTGCTCAGGTGCAGTGAATATTCCCCTCTCCACACCTGGTCCCAGGCAAACGCTGACCTGCTTGATGTCACCATAGACTACTTGGTGTCTTCTGGTATTTTATACAAACCACATAGTATGCATTCTTTTGACTCTGCTGCTTTTGCTCAGCATACGGATTCTGAGATCCAACCATGTGGTTGTGTATATTGCCTCCATTTTTCATCACCCTCTCATCCTCAGCTGGTAACCAATACTAACCCATCAAACCAAACCCACTGCTGTCGAGTCAATTCCAACTCACAGCAGCCCTACAGGACTGAGCAGAACTGACCCATAGGGTTTCTGAGGCTGTAATCTTTATGGAAGCAGACTGCCGTATCTTTCTCAGATAAAGTGGCTGGTGGGCTCAAACCACCAATCTTTCTGTAACAACTGAGCACTTTAACTGCTGTGCCACCAGAGCTCCTATCCTTTTTTTTTTTTTTTTCTCTTGCACCTTTTTCCTGAGCCACTGCCCTCCCTGATTGGTCTGTTTAACTCCAGTCTTGCTCTTCTTCAACCAATCCATTTTCCATTATGCACAGATCTGATCATGTACTTGCCTTACAACCCTTCAAAATAAAACTTTAACAACGGATTCCAGGATCTGGCTCTTCAGCCTCATCTCTAGTATCTCCTTGTATTCGACATACCAGCTACCCTGAATTTCTTTCAGTTCTTAAGAGCTACGGTTTGTCTTTCAACATTTGCTGTTCCTTATGCAGAGAAACCTTTTTTCCTAATTCTACCCTCCTTCCCTAGATAATTCCAGTTCCCTTTTCAAATATCAAATTTCACTTTCTTTTCCTCCTTCAACAAACATTTTTGGATGCCTCCTATGTGTGGCACAAATGGTTAAGCACTCAACTACAACAGAAGGGTTGACAGTTCGAATCCACCCAGAGGCACCTTGGGCCTATCCATCTGCTTCCGAAAGATCACAGCCTTGAACTCCATGAGTTGGAAGTGACTTGAGGACAACTAACAATACTATGTGTTACACAAGGGTTTAGGTGTTCTTCTTATCCCTTTAGTCTTAAAAAAATAAATATCTTTGAAATTCTGTTCATCTTTTCTCCTCCCCCATTCTTTTGCTCAGGATTCGTCTATAGAATTTTTGATCAAAATGTTTGGTAATGGCAGCCCAGCATCATCCAGTTCTGGTCTCATGGCAAAGGAAGCAGTTGTTCATTGTGTCTTGAATGGCTGCTTGCAAGCTTTTGAGACCCCAGGCAATATGCAAAGAACTAAAAAGTAGAACAGTAAACCATGGTGTTTCAATCAGTGGAGTTTTGTAGTAGAAGTGTCCTTTATTGTCCCACTATACATTTAGGGTGGGAAGGAAGGTTGGGCAATCTACTTCCGTAGTGATACAGCCTCGGAAACTCAAGGAGGGGTTGCTATACTCCAAGGCAGTGGGTTTGGTTTTCGGCTTATACGTTTAGGGATGTTAAGATTATGAGAAAACCGAAGAAACCAAACTCCGTGGAGTTGGACCCGACTCATAGCGACCCCTCCCTGGGTTTCAGAGACGGTATCACTACGGAAGTAGATTGCCCAGCCTTCCTTCTGAGGAGTGGCTGGTGGGTTTGAACCGCCAGCCTTCTGGTTAGCAGTCAAATGCCATAGGCATGTAAATTATTCCTGCTAATAAAAGTTCCAAGGCAAGGAATATAAAATTCTAATTAAAAAAATCACCAATGTTTCCTTTTAAAGTATCTAGAAAGTACTACGTTTCATCTTTAGGAATCACTATTTTACACACACACCCAGGGAAAAGCTCTGACAGGCATTTTCTATTTGTTCACTCTTGTTGTTATGTGCCCTCGAGTCAGACCCGACTCATAGCGAGCCCTCCTTGGGTTTCCGAGGCAGTATCACTACGGAAGTAGGATTGCCCAACCTTCCTTCCGAGGAGTGGCTGGTGGGTTTGAACCGCCAGCCTTCTGGTTAGCAGTCAAGTGCCTTAGGCAGTACTACCAGAGCTCCTATTTGCTCACTAGTCCTTGTTAATACCATCTTGATGGGGAATTAACAAATATTTCCATTACACAAGAGAGAGAACAAATTGCCGAAGGTCCCACGATTGATCTTGGAAAGTAGGCAGCAGTGAGGAAAACGGGGAGGCCATATGCCCACTTTAGGTAAGATAGCTAACCCCCAGTCGAACCGGCGGCATGGTCTCTACTTACTTCCGACGTTGGCTAAACTTCGGGCACATTAGGTTAATTTGCGTCTGGTTCGCTAGCACGACAGCCAGCAGACCCAGCCTACTCGCAATGGGAAGACCGACCAGCCCAAGCGCCTGAGGTAGACGCGGCTCCTACCCTGCGGACGAATCATGGTCTCGCGAGATCTGGGGAGGGCGCGGGCGCGGCCGCCGTGCACGCGCCTGCGAACCGTTAGGGTGGGACGCCTGCTGGGAGGGGCGGGCGGAGCCACTACAGTTGGATGCTCGTTGGTGGAGCCTCCGCGGGAAACGAGCGCGCGCGAGGTGCGTGAGCGCCCACGTCACGGCGACGGCGGCGGCGGCGAGCGGCGTCAGCACTCGGAGCGGGGGGGCTGACGGCTTGTGGCGGGTGGCGGTGCTGGCGGCGAGATCTCGCTTATCCTGTCTCGCTTCCGTCCCAGGACCCTGACCAAGCGAGGGGAACAGGGCAGCCTTCGGGGCCGCTGCTTTCCACACAACCGTCGTCGCGAGGCTCGCAGCCCGGACGCTCCCGCGCCCCTCCAGCTCGTCGTTAGCACGCCGTGAAGCGGCGACCGCCGCCGAGACAGCGTCTCGCTTCCCCACCCCTCTCCCCATTCCCCCACCCCAAGGCCCCAGTCTGCGCCCTCCCCTGCCCGGCCGCCGCTCCGCTGCCGCCATGTCGGCGCAGGCCCAGATGCGCGCGATGCTGGACCAGCTGATGGGCACGTCTCGGGACGGTAAGCCTGTGTCGGGGCCCTGGGTGGGGGAGGGGCAGCGGGGCAGGGGCAGGGGCGCACCTGGGCGTGAGTGTGTGCGGTGAGTGAGGGGCTCCAGATTGGTACCACGAGGGTCCGGCTCCCGCCCCGTCCAATCAGGGCTCGGCAGCCGGGCTTGGGGGCGGTGACCGTGCGGATTGGCGGGAATGGCTGCCAATGGGGCAAGGCGGAGCCTGGAGGGAGAGGAGAGTGCCTTCAGTGTTGACTTGGCTGCGACCCGGGATCCCACGTCTCCTGCGCAGTTGGCGGCCCAGTTCTCGCTGGTTCGGGACCTGCGGCCCGCTAACGCCTCTGCCCTGGACCTCATTCCCTAACCCAGAGCTCTGGGATGTTCCCTCGCCGTCTTCCTCCGGGGTCTCGAGCGAGCAGCGCAACCCCCCACCCCCGCCCCCCGCTTCCTGGGTCCGCAGGAATCCTCCCCTCTTAACCCCGCCCGCCCGGGAATGCAGTCCCCGGAAACAACCATTCTTGCGGGAGACTCTGACCCAAACCATGGTTTCTTGAAGTGGGTGCGTTTGGCCCCATTTTGTGAAAAGAACGCTGTGGTCTGTTTTTCTGAGACCTCCATTTTGTTAAACAGTTTTAATAGGTTTCGTTCAGTAAACATTGACAGATTTTGCACGTGTTCCCAATAGAACCATTTTGAAAATCGGGTGCCCAGTGAAGTAGAATTGAGGGAAACCCTAGATCCTTTGAGACACTTAGGTTAAAATCTGTATGGAAAACCATTAATTGTCGGATTATCTTTTGTCATAGTTTGTGAACAAAAGGATGCAATGCTGTTGCTTTCTTGATGATGTTAGTAATGTTCTCTTTGCGATTTAACTAAACCCCTGCTGATATGGGGAAGAGGTCTAGTTCAGTACTTTTGAAAGCAAAAATCTCTGCTTATTTTTATATGCTGCCTGTTCAGGCATATAGTTTCCAAGCCACTTCAGAAATGTTTTCTTGCAAGGCACACTCTTAAATTTGGATTTTAATAATCGGCCTGAGAACTGACTTGAGTGCTTTACACTAAAGCAAAATATGCGAATAGATGGGGAAAAACATCTATTCAGATCTTTTTAGCAGCACTCACTTAGATTGGCTTCTTGGTTTTAATAAAAACACACCTTAGAACTTTCCTTTGTGGAACAGAGAGGAGCAGGTGTAGCTGGCAAGCCTGTGGTGGGTCTAGAAAGGCGGGAAAGATTGGGAAGGAATGATGTTACTTGTTTAATAAACCTTTGGAAGTTAACAATAATTTAAAATAGAGCTTTTCATGTTTAGACAAGAATGGTTATTTTATAACTGCGGCATGTCTTATCGTTGCTCCCTTTCTGATACGAAGAGAATATCCTGAAGGGGCCTAATCCAGAGTTTCAGCTGACAGAATTTTACTTCATATTAAGTTACAGAAATCATTTGAGATTTACCATGATCCTTTTAATCCCTGATAGATACCATTTTTGGTGTTTTTGCTATGGATTGCATTTCCTGGTTTTACTGGAAAGATAGTTGGCTGAGTGTAACTGTCATCACCTGATGAATTTCTGAAACCGCCCATCTAGGATTGCAAAGCTGCATTAACTATATATGCGTGTGTATATCCATCGGCTCACACGCACACATATGTTCTCGTGTATGTAGTTAGCAGAGTCATGGATTTCTTAAAATCCACTCTGTTTACAAATAAATTAATATTTTTTGTGTCTGTTGGCTAGGGTTTTTTTTGTTTTTTTTTTGCCTTCAGGCTTAGAGGATTTATATATGAGCTTGTGTTTATGAATCCATTGAAATGACTGGATTTTCACTGCTATATTGGACTAGAAGTAAGAAACATACTACTTTCAAGGACAAGAATGCTTTTTTAGCTATCCCAATTCCTTTTTTTATGTATTAACGTAAGAATCAGAACATTGTTTTCTTTTTTACCGGGTATTTAATGAGTTTACGTACTTCATTCTATGATTCAGGACCTTTATATAATTAGGATTGCTCTTTTTCGCATATTGTCAACTTCAGGATATCCAGGGTTAGGGGAACTTGGATGCATCCTGAGTTACACCATGTGGTTTGAAGCCATATAACGGGAAACTTTGTATTGGACACAAGAACAGCTCACAGGGAATGCTGTGGGTGTCTGTGGCACTAAGAGGCGGAAAGGGGGTCCTGGAAGCGGGAGAAAGATAGGAAGGGAAGGTCAGAGGTGTCTAAAGCTGGTGCTGGTCTTTTTGTTTTTAAATCGCTGAAACTCGAACTTCTTGGGTATGGAGCTCGAGGTGGCAGTAACCCTCTTCACCCTTAGTGTCTTGTCTGAGGGGATCTGAAGTGGCACAGGAAGTGTCAGGGCACTGATGGGTGCTGCGAAAACTGCTGCCCTTTCTCCTCCACTGCCTCCTGCCCCTCCCAACAGCTTTTAGTTTAGTTCCTTTCAAACTCCTTGGGGCTGTGGGTCTATTTGTTGAATAGATTTTACTTTGAATTACTTAAGCCAATCACCTAGATTACCTGAACTTCACTGAAATCCTCAGCAGTTGGGATTTTGGTGGCAGGCAAGTGGAAAGGTAATTTTAGATCACTGGGCACTTTAAGGAAGGACAGAGCTGGGTGAGTGGTGGACGTGGGGGCTTTGAACGGACAACCAGAGGGCAGCATGATGGCACCGGGAGGCTGGGCAGGGGGTCGAGCAGGAGGTGGGAGAGGATTGCATAAGGGAGGTGGGAGGGCCAAAGACAAACTTTGCCTTCTCTGCAATTTTGCCTAGGGCCCTGGTGGTGGCAACCGCCTGTGTGCCACTGAAAACCGTGCCGATGCCTGGCATACTCCATAAGTGGAAGCAGGGGCCGCGTGAGTTGAAGTATTGGTCACACTGTATAAAGTCTGTACATGTGAGTCAGTGTAACTCGTGCCCAGGTACCTGGGGGTCTGACTGTATTTGGCTTTTTCTAGTAAGGCATCATGGGCTAAGGAAAAGAACACTGGGCTGAGACTCAGGAGACCTGGTGTCTAGCCCCAGCTGTACCTCTAATTGTAACCGTGGGTAAGTCACTTAACCTTTTTTGCCTCAAGTTAAATCTATCATTTGTTAAATGGGAAGACAAATACTTGCCTGTGTTATACTCAAACTGTTGAAAAATACGAACCTCTTAAGATTTTTGGAAGGGAGGAACAATAAGTAGGTATAAATGATTATGATTTTATTTCCAGTTTAAGATAAATGAAATTTTGTGACTATCCATCTGTTTTAATTGTTGGCATGACTATAGAGGGGAGAGGGATAGTAGTTTATTTTCCCTGAATACAGTCCATTTGAAAGCAGGAGCAGCACAGAAAAATTCAAGAAGCCGTTTGAGCACCGTCTGTGTGGTAGTTGGAGGGACGTCCTCACAAAGACTGTAGTCATGTTTGCTGGGTTGGATTAATTGCAAAGGTGTCCCTTAGAAATGCCCTTTACCAGTAAATGCAGTTTGGTAAAGGTAAGTCTCTGGTCATGGCCCAAGAAAGGTTTGGCAAGGTGCAAGGGCAAGGAATTTGTGTTTACAAAATTGAGGGTTTGGATTTAGATTACACCCTAAGTTTGGAAACTATAGAGAAGTTATGAAAGATTCTGAGCATTCCATTCCTCTTACTTGCTTGTAATGTTTAAACAGGAGCTGGAGACCATCTCATTTCAGAGATGATCTGACAGGCGGAATGACAGGCCAGGATGACAGTATGCCGTCAGAAACATCCAGTAGTGTGTTAGAATGTGATGTGGATGACTAGGGGATGTTTTGGTCAAGTCAAAGTTCCCGATCCTTTTAACTTTTTTATGGAATCTTTCTACACTTTGTGAGGTACTTCCTCAGTTACGAGAGTATATTGATAGAAGTTTTTAGTTTATCAACTGTACAGCAGTAGCTGATGGAATATAAGATTGAAAGGACACTTGTGCTAGATGGTGGCTCAGGAAGTCATTGACCTGTGGTGGTGTGGTTAGTGACAGCTCTAGGACATTGGTCCCTTTGGGCAAAATTAATTATTGAATCGAAGGTTGACGAAGTGTTTCCTTCAGTGGGTTTTCTTTTTTATAAACTTCTCTTCACTATAATCTGTGTTCCTTAATTTGTCCTCAGCACTGGGAGCTTTTCTCTTTGTTTTCTCTCATTACCTTCATGACCATATTCACTTCCTGGTTAATTGTAAGCCATTCTTCTGTTCCACTTGGATTGTTCATTTTAAGTGAAGGAGGCGGGGCCCTTAAGCACACGTACTTGAAAATAGTAATGGGGTATACCTTACTCCAGAGCTTATACATTCTTTTTCATTATAAGAAATTTAAATAAATAAATAAGGCTGAACATTATTAGTTCTTTGAGTTTTCATGAGTATTTGACTTTTATCAGAGCTCCAGGCATGTCCAGGACACTGAAGGCTCTCTTAGCACCTGTACAGGGAACCCCTTGAAAATATGTTTTCCTCATCTGGAACTTTGAATTCCGAATGCTATTTACAGAACGGCCCAGAAAAATGATAGGAGATGTTCTTCATTGAAAAACCAACTCGGAAACCAAAGAAAAGTAATTTTGTTCATTTTTGCCTAGGCTCTGTTTGCAACAAGTAGGCTGTCATGTGAGCATAAACGGTGGCAGGCTGCATGTTGAGGATGGTCCAACAGGGTAACAGGAATCCAAAGGAAAGTAGGTGTCATGGATCAGGAGTCAGGTTTAGTGACTGAGCTAGCAAGCCGGATCAGGTGGTTCGTGCAGGTATTGAAGCTTGGAGTTGCTGAGGGTACAGTGGTAGGATTGAGGAGATAGGCAGGTGGCTTAAAACTGGAAGTCAGTAAGTGTGGGCGAGATTAGACTCAGCCAGGCCGAAGCTCCTTAAGAATGGGATTCCAGAAAGCTGCTGGAAAGAGACCGAGTCCCCACGGCTCACGGCTGTTTCTGTGGTTCTTGAGGAGACCCCGGGAGTTGTGCCCAGTTTAAGCTGAAATC